TGAAATGTACTCAGACCAAGAGGTAATAGTCCCTTTTAGAAGCCTGTCTGTGTTATTCCTTATTAGTGGGAAGCTCATAGAAAGGCTTTTTATATTAGCTACTATTTTCCTTTTGTTGGAATGTTGATTTGAAAGTTACAAGCCTTTCTCTGCTTCTTCCCAGCCAGGTCTCTAGACAAACTTTATAACTTTGCTGATTGCTCTGGACTCCACCTGATATTTGCTCTAAATGCACTGCGTCGTAATCCCAATAACTCCTGGAACAGTTCTAGTGCCCTGAGTCTGTTGAAGTACAGCGCCAGCAAAAAGTACAACATTTCTTGGGAACTGGGTAATGGTAAGTAAGGATGTTACTTCCTCTGAATTGACAAAATAAAGGGGAAAAATAAGTTGGCTTGTGATACAGTCTCAATCAGACCATCTCTAGTGCCCTGGCCCAGAAAACATTTGTGATGTTTGGCCACTGAGTTGACTCTCCAAATGGTAAAAGACCAAATAGTGAAGGACAGTAGATTTAGTGAATACACACCATTTGCATCTATAATTATCTCTAGTTACCTCATTCCAAATATGGGGAAAATGCCACAAAATGGGAAATATATAGTGATTTATGACTAACAAATTGATTTTATAACCTGTTTGCACAGCCTGAGCTACCTTTTACAATGTGTGTTCTGTGGAACATTGGTCCTACAAGATGATCCTGCTAAAATAATAATTCAAAAGAGCTTTGGTCAAATATATTTGAGGACCTTTATACAGTATGTGAACCTCCTGAAGGATCACAGTACACATTAGTATATAAAAGGCTATAAGAAGTCTTGTTGCAAAGAAATCTGTTTGACATTTTTTAACCCAGCATTTCTTAAACAATTTCACCAAGGCTAGTTTCAAGGGTGTGCAGCCTGTGCTGTCACATAGGGCCCATGCTTAGAAAAGACCCATTTTTGGCTGGGCGTGGTGGCTCAGGCCTGTAATACCAGCACTTTGGGAGGCCTAGGTAGGTGGATCACGAGGTCAGGAGTTTGAGACCAGCCTGGCCAACATGGTGAAACCCCGTCTCTATTAAAAATACAAAAATTAGCTGGTCATGGTGGCAGCCCCCTATAATCCCAGCTCCTTGGGAGGCTGAGGCAGGCGAATCGCTTGAACCCGGGAGGCGAAGGTTGCAGTGAGCTGAGATCATGCCACTGTACTCCAGCCCAGGAAACAGTAAGACTCCATCTCAAAAGAAAAAAAAAAAGAAAAAAAGAGAAGAGACCCATTATTGCTTTCATTCTCTGCAGTCACCATCCTGAAATTCTTAATGCTTTTTTAACAAAGGGACTCAATACTTTCATTTTTCACGGGGCCCTACAAATTATGTAGCCAGTCCTATTTAATCATTAAAGTGTGTGTGTGTGTGTGTGTGTGTGTGTGTGTGTGTGTAGCATAAGTTATCATTCATTCCATGGAACAATATTCCATGGAGCACAATTTGGAGAAATATTTCCTAAATCATGCTATATTCCCAATGATATATATTTATTTGTGACATATATGTTATTCTGTAGATTTCATGACTGTAATATTGAGTCAATATGGATTGTAGTTAAAATTATTGATAGTATAGATATGAAGATGTGTGCTTCTCAGATTAAAATACCTTTTGGTATACTTTAGAACAAGACAAACCAAGAATTCTCTTAAAATTACTGATGCAAATTCATTCCAGCATTTTCATTAACAGTCTTATATGTCTTTAGCTAACCCATATTTGTTTGGAGCACTATATGTGTGAGTGTGTGTGTGCCCATGTGTATTTATTGCATCCTGGAATTTGGATTTCTCAAAATAAGATGGCAAGGGAAGAAAAGAATAAATGTCCAACTTTCTTACCCGTAGCCACTAACTGGAATGTAGCTCTCCGTTTCTTTCCTCTTTCTCTGCTTTTCTCTCTTCTTTACCTGTGGAAATTAGGGGATAGTTAGTGACCAAATGGAGACCTGTTGAGTTGAACTGAGGATACCATGACTGTGGGAGGCTCAGCTAGGATAGCCTGAGGGTTTTCATATTCCAGACTTGCCTGAGTATCATACATTTGACAACAAAGCAGGAATGATATGATCAGCTTTGGAGTAGGCCAAAGTATTACATTGTCAGTAAAGTCTTTCAATGATCCCTTTCCATACCATTTTCTATTTATATTTTTTTGACATTTTTTGGTATTTTATGTTTCTACTCATGACCACCCACCTAACCTTACCCTCCTCAAATATCAGGCTCTGCCCAACTTAGCTTTATTCTCCAAACAGAGCAAAATATTCTTCAAACAGGGCATGACACCTGCCGTGAGAGACCAATTGGGCCTAATGGTTAAAAGAGATAAGTATCAGACACTAAAGAATGGTAGGTCTTTTGTTGAACTGGAGAATACATGTCCAAAGGCTTTGTTTGGTTTTCTTGTAAAACTATTGTGCTGCCTACATAAAACTGGTTTGTAAAAAATCTCAACTAATAATAGATACACCCAGATTAAATAAAACTTACCTACCCTTGATTGACGGGAATAATTATTCTAGGGTTTTTGGCATCTCTGAGTGTAGGAGCTTGTTAAACTAAATAAATTTACAATTGGCATAATTGGAGTGATTTTGTGGAGGGGGTGGGTTGGAGGAGAGAATATATACATCTTTCCATATACATCTATTCCAGACAAGTAAGAACTTGCCCCTCCCCATCAACCTCCTTCCTTCAGACAATGCTACATAGTTCAGAAACGGAGCTAATTACACTTTAAAAAATGTTATTTAGACACTTTAGCCACACCTCATTTGGTTCCCATCATCATCTTTTAAAGCGCGTCCTCAGGGCTTAACAACAACAAATAATTGTTTATAAGGAGAAGAAAAGGCACTGACATTGATAAAAAACAGGAATATAGATAGGAAAAGAACAAAATAATTCAATAAAGTGAAAAATATCCAATAATGTGTGTTTCTATAGGTCATTTTGAATCTCTAGTCAGAAAGTCTAGAGTTAGTGTTTTCCCGTTAAAGTGCATTTCTATTTTTTATGTAACCATATACATGATTAATAGATAATACATGATTATTAGTGATAAATAATAAATAATCATTTATTAAGGCTACATTTTAGAGTTTAAAGAATACATTTTAGAGTTTGAAGATTTATTTTCCTGTTTCTTTAATTCATTTTACAACTGCTGATAGTTCTTCTTTACTAAAATCATCTCTCTTAAGATATCCAATGTACAGTATTCTGCTCAAAACTATTCTGTGTTCTATATTCAGCCTCTTCCCCCTCAAAATATCTTCATGGTAGACATGTTTCTCTAATCTTCTAGCCATTTTCTGCTTTGTAACCTTATCTTTTTGGACAGAGGTAATCATTTAATCATTATATTCACATTCAGGAAGGGACAATAGAACAGGTCAGTCTTCTTATCACTCATCTTTCCATATACCTACACCATGTTAACAAGTATTTTATCTCTAGAGCAAATCTAGCATTGGGAAAAAAACAAAGTATAAGTTTCTTTGATTGTTTTTTCTAGAGTGGCTAAACTTTAAGTGACTAACCTACTTCTTTTCCTCTTCTTTGAAAGCAGTGAATAGTGTGGGCTACAGACCACAAAAGCAAGATATACCCAATATCAAGAGGCAAAGATGAGAAAGTTTAGGATGTTAAAGTATATGAAAGAATGACTTTCTTCGGCTAGGCATGGTTGCTCACACCTGTAATCCCAGCACTTTGGGAGGCCAAGATGGGAGGATTGCTTGAGGTCGGGAGTTTGACACCAGTCACAACATAGCAAGACTCCATCTCTACAAAAAACTAGAAAGTTAGCTGGGCATGGTAGCATGCACCTGTGATCCTGGCTACTTGGGAGACAGGGAGACACTTGAGCCTGGGAGGTCAAGGCCGCAGTGAACCATGATCATGCCACTGCACTCGAGCCTGAGTGACATGGTGAGACCCTGTCTCAAAAAAAAAGAGAAAAGAAAAGAAAATCAAAAGCAAAACAAAAAAAAAAATGACTTTCTTGACACCATACTTTTTTACAATTACTTTCTTTGGATATAAAATATTTCCCGAAATGTCCATAAATTGTAAACTCTGTAACTGATTAACATAATGTTACAGAGTTTTACATTTATTTTAACCATTGGTGAATTTAAAGTAAGAAAGAACTGGAGAAATTTTGAAGCTGGGACTCAAACTCTGGAAGTGTATATAAATTCTAGTCCAACTCCATTTCAGGGAAATGGTGTTTGTTCTTTAGAGGGCTATACTTAATCACAAAAATTACCTTAAGATAATGCAATACCTCTAATTGAATGAACACTGAACTACATTATGAACTATAAACGTGCTTCCCAAATACATCTGCCCATTTCTATAAGCAAGTAAAAGCTACTATAATTAATTACTGAATCAATCTTATATACTCATACCCATAACCTGACCTGTATACATTCGTGCATTATTCTCTTATAATACTTAGTTATATGACTCAGTTCTCTGGAGCCTGTCTACTAAGTAATTTTGTAAAATCAAGTTTCTGACCTTAGAAAGTTGGAGATAATGATTCTTATGATTCTGGAAGAGCAGCTTGATTCATACATTACCTCAATATTTATTAAGCTTTTAGTCTGTGTTTAGGTGGATAAATGTATGATGTATTTATGTATTTTTTTCTTTTCTTTTTTTTTAGCATGTGCAGAATGGGTAGGTTTTTTACATAGGTGTACACATGCCATGGTGGTTTACTGCACCCATCAACCTGTCGTCTACACTAGTTATTTGTCCTAATGATATCCCTCCCATTCCCTCTCACTCATGAGAGAGAACACGCAGTGAGAACATGCAGTGTTTGGTTTTCTCTTCCTGTATTAGTTTGCTGAGAATGATGGCTTCCAGCTTCATCCATGTCACTGCAAAGGACATGAACTCATTCTTTTTTATGGTTGCATAGTATTCCATAGTGTATATGTGCCACATTCTCTTTATCCACTCTATCATTGATGGGCATTTGTGTTGGTTCCAAGTCTTTGCTATTGTGAATAGTGCTACAGTAAACATATGTGTGCATGTGTCTTTGTAGTAGAATGGTTTATAATCCTTTGAGTATATATTCCAGTAATGAGATTGCTAGGTCAAATGGTATTTCTATTCTAGATCCTTGAGGAGTCACCACACTGTCTTCCACAATGGTTAAACTAATTTACACTCCCACCAACAGTGTAAAAGCATTCCTGTTTCTCCACATCTTCTCTAGCATCTGTTGTTTTCTGACTTTTTAATGATCGTAATTCTAACTGGCATGAGATGGTA